CGCTCTTCAGGACTCAGGAGACAATCAGCACCCCAGGAAGGAAACACAGCTGGTCTCAAGCCAGCCCAAATGAAGGTCTCCCATCCAGCTGTGGAGTTAAAACTTGCATGCAGCTGGTGGTGGGCAGAGGATGAGACTACGTGTTACATCTGTCATGTAAAAAGGTGTGCAAGATGGGATTCCTGTATGGATACTGGTGATGACCTGACCTTCAGAGACTGTGAATCAAATGTCTCTTTGATGGCTTTACACGTTGTATGGACAGGACTCCAGTAGGAAGTTTTTCAATGCTCTGCATCACTGGTGTCCTCTCCAGAACGACTGCTTTTGTACCGCTGTGGTTACCTCATCAGGTACTTGTGAGCTTGGCTCGGATATCTTTGTGGGACACATAAGATTTCTAACATAATGATTACCCCGTGTCTGAACAGGAGCTATGTCCCAAATGCCAATGCTCTTACTACAGGTTCCAGATATTACCAGGGACAGAAAACACACCAAAATCCTGAGTCTTCTCAGCATTTTTGTTTTCTGAGACATGTGTGACCATTGTCTCTGTACTTCCCTGTGAAATACTAAGCCCAGCTGAGGTTGGGCTGGGACATGGGTTTGCAGGTGGGCCTGGCTCAGCAGGACCCATGGCTGGGCAGGACAGGACTGTGGGAGCTGGACACTGGCCCTACTGTGGCATCACTGGAGCCAAGGCAGATAGCCCATGGGGTGGGCTAGTATGGAGTCCTGGGTCCTGGGCAGGATGGGAGAGCCCCAGGGGTAGGCAGGGATGGGCAGGGCTGTGGGTGCCTTCAGGACCCTGGCAAACACGTGCAAAGCTATTGAAGCGACACTCCTTTGTGCCTAGCTTAAGCAAGTCTGCATATGGGGTAAAGCACCATGTGTGTATGATCAAGGCAAATTCATAGTGGCAGTCTGAGCTCAAAACTTACCCTCTTTGCTCAGGTCACTTTATTCTAATGATCACATGTTTCACTTGAGCATTGCTGTTGGCATATATACTGCACTGCCTGCTCCAGACTGACGTGTGCTAATGAGCTCTGGTTAATATGGTGATAGCACCATACTTCCAAATTCACTGCTGGACAGAGCCCTAAAGATTAAAACCAGAGTACAATGCCCTGTGGAGGTCAAATATCACATGGATCTGTTCAGGGAGATGAGATGAAAGTACAGTAACGCCACGCAGCTATAGCATGGCAGCATTGACTTGTACAAGTTCATACTCAGACAATGATGATATTAAAGAAAACAACAGTGATCAAAAATGCAGTAAAAAGGAAAAATAGATTTTAAACTCCACAAATCACAATGCATTTTAAATCAACAGGCAACTTCTAATGCTCAAGAGCTATTACATATAGCAGCACTCACAGCTGGAGAGAAAAAATAGGATACCCTATCTCAGGCTGATAAAACCATGTTTGAATGAAAGACGACCTGTGACAGAAGGTAGATCACCCTACCAAACCAAAATGGTTGCTGTATTGCCCTGAAGGCCACCACAACACTTCTGTTCCCTTCTTGTCACGTAAAAGACTTCATTATTTGTGCTGCATCTGACATTCAGCATCCTTGAGAGGCTAGCGGACTGGTGGAATAGTCAGTTTTACAAGTAATAGGGTCATAGAATCATAGAATCATAGAATCATAGAATGGCCTAGGCTAAACATGACATTTTCTGAGCATGGAGTTTCCAGTTGTGATACCCAGTTGTGGTATCATCTGCAGCACTGCCGGGCCTCCCACACGTAAGTCCTGAGATGAACCTCCATGAGGGAATTTGGTTGTAGACACAACTTCAGAGTCACGGTGCTGCTTTAGTGAGCTAAGGACTTCTACAGGAAAAAGTCTTAAATATTCAAAACTGTCGGCATAAAATGCAAGTCCCTTCACCAACAAAATATCTGTCTGAATATACAGGCCATTTGTCGGACCCCAGATTTCAAATCATTGATGCATTCTTCCAGTGATTCCAAATGTAAGAGGCTTGTCACAAAAATATTCTGCCCTTAAGTTTTCCAGAAGGTAAAAAACTGCCACAGAAATTTTATTTTCTTCACCTTAATATGGTTTGGGGCAAGCCATGAAAGTCACTGCCAGCCCTGCAGTACTTTTTAGTTCCCGAGCACACAGACCATAGACTGAGGCTGTGGATCTGCTGATATTTTCCTTGGTGGCATTTTCCTCTGGCCCCTCATTCCCTTAGTGCCTGTGAGGTTGGCAAGGCTCAGGCCTTGTTCCAGGCTTGAAATAACCCTCCCAAAATACACCCTATTAGCATTATGTTCTTTATAAGACATTTGTCAGTGTTTAACACTGAAGGCGGATCAAAATTCACAAGCTACAGGAAGGGTTTTAAAATGGTGACCCCACACCATTTGCCAGCGGTGACAGTGGCCTCTACAGGTTGGGGTACTGGGGCAAAATGTTTTCAAGGAGTGTCAAATTCTCCTTGAGCAAGGCATGCTTGCCCAAACCATTTGTGTGATGCTCTCACACAAGCCTTGGTGTGGGGAAGGGAGGTTTGAACGATTGGTCAGTAGGCATTCATTTGCCAGATGGAGTGGCAACATCTCACTATTCAAAATAAATGAGCTGCAGTACTGCACATTGCTGCATATGGTCCCGCTTCGAGCACTCGTGCAGGATATGATGCTGACTTATTTACCCTAGCACCTTTTCACATCATTCCAGCAGTTTTTGAAAAGGGTATTTTACATGCAAAGTCTCTTTTTATTGTCAAAGTAAAGTAAGGGGTTTATGGCAAGTGAAAGCCAGGCTGAAAGCTAAATCTTTGGCACTAATTCTAATAAATGTATCCTTTGCAGACTA